TGTAATATAGTAGGGCAATAGTAATAATAATAATAATGGTACTATTGCAGGGATCGGGCCCAAATAAGCAAGCTTGCTTTGAATGCCAAGTCGCAGCTCGCTTGGCTGCTTTGCCGAAAGAGCGGCCCCCAACATTCACCTAGACCTGACTTGACACTCTGATGCTGTGCGATTTGGGGTTCGGTTTGCATTTAGGTCATGCTTTCTTTTTCAGAGCTACCGCATTGGACGGTCTCTAAAGACACTTAGCTGACGCACTTTGAGGTACCGCAGACAGGCTCTCAGCTCCAATCTAGGCATTACATGGCGCTTTTCCTTGCTCATGGTATGAATTGCAGTATTTCTGGGTGCTTGCATTTTGCCAGGCTCTGATTCTGTGGCTGGATAATGCCACTACTGCATCAAACCGCTTAGGGTTATATAGGGGTATATTGGGGGTATATTATTGGGATGATGGAAAAGAAAATGGAAACTATTATGGTATAATTGGGTATATATAGGGGTTATAATGGGATAGACGGACAACCGGAAAAGCTTGTACAAGAAACGCGCAACAAGGAGGTCAACCGCGATGTCTTTTTCAGGCTTCGATAGTCTTACCCGAAGTGGCCCCGTATGTGGGTTTCTGGCGACCTAGGGTAACTAAACAAAGCTAATTACAGCAAGAGCAAGAGAGGAGTCTGTTTAGTCCGGGAAATATTAGGAGGTTGTCCAGAAACCCCAGAAGGGGTCCACTTTGAGGGATTTCGTGCTGGCTGTTTTCCTCCCCACAATATTGTAGCCCTTCTCCCCTCAAAATGAAAAATCACTTAATCAAACAAATGTTCAAGGTAAAGTAGGGAGAGGGCTTATTCTTGAGGGGTGGGAATAAAGTGCATCTCCATACAGTGCTTGGAGGGTCAGGGTGACTTAGTAAGTAGGTTAGTAACCCCTATAACCCAAATAGTAACCCCAATTATCCCCATTATTAACCTACTTCCCCCTGACCCTTCAAGTGAAAGGGATCTCTCACAAAGATGAGCTCCTAATGGTAGGAGTTCTTCAAGGTCACAGCTCAAGGAGTCTACCAGACAGCCTTGAGCCACATGAATACAGGAGTTATAGGGTTATTTTGGGTTTAGGGTTTAGGGTTTAGGGGTTTAGGGTTTAGGGTTTTAAGGGTGTTATCTTGGGGTTATATAGGGAGAATGGAAAAGAAAATGGAAGCTGCTCTAGTATATTGGGATGATTTTGGGGTTTTCTTGGGGTTAGTAGGGAGAATGGAAAAGAACATGGAAGCTGCTCTAGTATATTGGGATTATTTTGGGGTTTATTGGAGTTATATAGGGAGAACCGAAAAGAGAATGGAAACTGCTCCAGTATATTGGGTTTGTTTTTGGGTTTTATTGGGTTTATATTGGTAGAAGCTTAAAAAAATGAAATTTTGAGTTCAGTTAGGGATATTCCCCAATAATGGAGAATCAGACGGAAAGAACCATGGAAAGTGACATGGAAACCCTAGGCCCCTTTAAATGGGCATATATATATATATAGAGGTTATAGAGGGATTTACCCCAGTAATCAGAACATCGTGAATGAAATGGATACTGGCGTAATAGACAGGGCATTTTAAGAAGGGTTGCTCATGAGGTTTTGGCTGTAAATGCCTTGTGTTCAGGATTGCGGAGGTTCATGTGATGGGTCCAAGTATTTTGGCGCCGTTGAGATTTCTCTTGTTGATACTAAAATTCCTGCGTGACCTTAGTCGGCTATATTCAGTTTCCAGCATAAGTCCAATGTGGAAGGTACTTCGGGTGCTGAGATTCCCGTGATGAATCCACCATCTAACCCACGTGTACCCGTGATGATCCCCAAGCCCTAAGCCTTAAACCCTAAACCCTACATGGTAGTTTCTTTTTTCTCTTCCATTATCCCCATATAGCCCCGATAGACACCCTAAACCCTAAAGCCTGTTCTGGTAGGCTATCCCCCACCTAATCCCAAAATTGTCCATTTCATTCTCCATTTTCTTTTCCATTTGATTCTCCATGATAGCTAGCCCTAAACCCTAAGTCCTAAAACCTAAAGCGGGTTCTGGTAGGCTGTCTTGTTTAGACTCTATCCTAGCGGCTCGCCGGCTGCTCCTCATGTGGGATGGCTGGTACGTTCGCGACATCTAGCCCAGTGGGTTCTCAAACATTGCGCGCGCAGTCAAGGAGCTGTATAGGGGTTATATAGGGTTTATATGGGGAGAATGGATAATGGACAAGAAAATGGAAAATACTAGTTAGGGTTTAGGGTTTGTCTTTGAAGCTTCCCAAGATGAACCCGTTATCCCTACAGAGTCTTCAGGCCCACCCTCACAAACTCTTCGTAGTCTTTTAATATTCTGTTGATGTGACAGTGAGCTAGTTTGACATCCCCTCCATCTACAGCCTTGACAGCTTCTGACCACGTGGACCGTTTTCACCAAATTAGGGTGTAACTCTGAAGGGAGCACATTCAGTACCGGAACGCCCAAAAGGATCCACACCAACTGGACCCCATGTCCCCGATTCTTCCAACAGAGCTGTCAGGGTGCAGGACCTTGGGCCCCTGAGTTTTTTCAGGGGTTTCGCTTCAAGCAATTTGAGACTTTGAATTGCAATCAGTCCCCAAAACACTTGACTGACACCTTTAAAGTTTCCAGGAACTCATTCAGCTAGAGTATAGGACCCAGGGTGTGGAATCTCATGGGCAAAACCCGAGGAGGACATGTCTGCCATCCTGTTCCAAGGAGTGCTTGAAGCGAGTATGGTTGTGCTCACGATGATAAGGTGCATGGTTGCTTTACCACTTGCGTTGTTTCTTTCGTGCTCAAGAGACAACCGCTCCCTGGGCGCGGAGGCCGTGAGGCGGTCCTGCACAGCCTGGTGTATGGGGATGTTATGGTCAAGCTTTTAGGGCCTGATTCAGGGTCTTGATTTTTGGGATTTGCCGTTGAGGCTTGGGGCTGAGGAAAGGGTTTGAGGGTTTGGGCGTTTAGTTTTTTTCATTGAGGGGCCAGGTTTAAGAGCCTGGGGTGTAGGGTTGAAAGGTGTTAGCAGACAGGCTAAGGGGTTTCAGCCGTTGATGGGTCTGGGATTCAGAGATGGAGAGCCCTAAGATTTGGAGCTTGAGGGTTGCAGGTCTAGGGCTGTTAGGTGGACTCCCATGGTGAGTACAACGGATAATGGTGGTAATGTTGGGGTCCGCTTATATTTCTTATATACCATCATTACAGGGTGGGGGGTCCACCTTAGATATACCCGGTGAGGTGTTGCAGGTTGGGATCCCAGAATAACCGCAAACCATAGGCTCTTGGGATTCCAGGGTTTGGGGGACATGGGGGGGACCTGACCTGAGCACCGGGTGCACCAGGCCCCCTGCGGGCCGGCAGCCTCAAGATGGCGTTTGCCTGGCTCAGTTGAAGCTTCCAAGGGGTACCACAAATTACTTAAAGGTTACAAGTACCCTTCATACAAACGGTAGCAGAAGCAGTGTTATTACTTGTTATCCTTGCAACAGTAAGAAGGATTCGAAGATGCAGGCAGCAGTCGTTACTAATGTCCTGCTTCCCTCCTGTGTTTGCTGCCGGTACTGCTGCCGCCACCGCTACTACTACCACCACCACCGCAGCTGCCTTCACCACTGGTGCCGCTGCCATTACCTACACCGGCACCACGGCTATTTCTTCTCATTGCTACTGGCTAGTTACTGCTCAGTATTGACAGCAACAATGGCGGTAACTACCAGAACTACTACGACACCTTCGGTGTTCAAATCTTGGGCCTTGGGATGCGAAATTGATTAGCTTGTGGTTCATAGATGCACTTCCATTTTGCCGTTCCATACTTTCTGGGATGCGGAGAGCCTTAGATCTGGCTTGGGATTGAACTGCACTCTGGACTGGGATTCGCTGGGAAATAATCACTGAGCCCAGCAACATCTCTCGGAGAGAGATGTTGTTTTCTTATGGAATGTAGGGCAGTGTTCTTTCTGAGGGGCTCACTGGGTGCGGGATGCATAGTCTGAGTCATTGTTTTTGCCTTTAACGAGGGACTGAGGAGTACCATGAATCTGGTGCATCCAGAATTCTGCTTTTGGTCTCCTTCACTTGGAAACCCTAAGCTTGGCTTGAGTTAAGTGCAAGCGTCTAAGCCAGCGTGCTGTGCAGCTCTGCCGGATTTCGTTGGTTGCTGAAATGCTGAGGAAAGACAAACACTTTCACTGAACAGTTCATGGATGGAGGGATTTGGGGGTTTGGGAGTTTAATCTACGGGTGAGGGTCCGACGGATTTTGCGGGCAGACAATGGCTGTTGGGAAGAGTTGTCCAGGATTCGTTAACCAGGATTCGTTAACGCTTACTGGTCAATGGTCAACGAGGATATCTTCAGGCCTGGTCCAAGCGATGAATCATCTCTCCATCCCCAATCCCCTGACCCCAAACTCCAAAGGACGTGTCAAGCACGTCTTCGTGTTGTTATGCTATTTGCCAGGTCCTCGGCCGTGGCGGACAGTTTTACCACGCGGGAAGATGCCAAGAAGCAAAAAGCGCTGCAAGAGGCCAGAATGATGGGATCCCTGGATGTGAATTCTGTTGCATCATATAGTCCCCCTTAAGTAGATAGAATATGGGGCATATGGGGATCTAATTATAATGTACCCAAAGCCATATTCTATCTACTTAAGGGGGACTGTATATCTACAATATTTCACATACTATATAACATACAACATTATGTGGCGATTATGATGTGTACATGCCACAGGGTTGGCAAAGTTACTTAGTCTTTGGTATCTTCGCAGACAATCGAAAGCTTCAGGCCCCGCTGGTAGGAGGGAAGATCTGAAGCCTTCTTGCTGGGCGAGCTTACAAATCCTGAAGCTCACCCCGAAACACCTGACAGGCGACTAAGAGCCTAGAAGTCTTCATCACTTAGCCCTTCAGGCACGTGCTGCTGGTACTGCCGCCCCAGAGACGGATGAGTTCACAGGGAAGATGATCAACCCGCACAACCCGGAGTTCATCACCAAGGCTGTTTGAGAACTTCGTGTTGGGGGTTGGCCTCAATCTAGACAGGGATCTACTTTGGACAAACAGCATCCATGGAGTGCAGGTTGTTGGTTTTACTTTTCTGGGCTCGGAGCCAACCTCAACAGGCTTCAATATTCTGGGTCCCTTCTTGATGTCCTGTTCGACTTTTGTGGATACTTCTCATTTTGGCGCGTCATTTTAATCTACCCAGTTCGTCTACAAAGTTCAACCCAGAAACGGTAAAAGTTCGGTCAGGCCTCAGGCTACCTCACACAGTGGCATGAAGTCATTGGTTTGACGCGGCTATAGCAGGTGGGGTTTCTCTATGGCGATGTGCACTGTTTCCTTAAAGGAAGAGGTTTCATTCTTTCAGACATATGCACAGAGTTCCTACAGGGACATTCGCTTGTTCAACGGCAATTTAGCGCAAGGCCAAACTGCTCAAGAGGGCAGTACTAGGTACATGACATACATGCTTTGGTTTGGGCTCCTTACCCGTCCGATCCACATGTGATGCGACATCTGTAATCAGATCAAACCTGTGATGCACCCAGAATCTACACCCGAATTAGTCAAGTGTGATTCTTCAAAACAGATATTGTTTGGCAAGCATGATTTCTGACACATGCAAGATGATGCCCAATGGATGCAACTTGACGGCTTCAAGATGCGTAGTGTTCCTGCTGAAGAATGCTGTACTCCTTCCCAAGCCAAAATTCCGGTAAGAAGCTGAACCCAATTTCAGCCTACCTTCGGTCCAGGCGCCCTGGTATTTGAACCAAGACCGGCCTTCCTTGAGACACCATCAAGCCTGGAATGCCAAAGCGCTCGGCACGAAGGATTGGTACATTCGAGGCACGGATGCACACCATGTTTATCATCCTTTACTGGAAATGTGATCATGTTTTTTGGGGTCATCAAATAATTGGCTTCGTAGTCTTGTTTGAGGGGCACATTTCTGAGATTCTAGAACACACTGCTGCATCATAGTGCAGCTGACTGAATGCTTTCGAGGATGAACGTTCTCATGGCTTTGTCAAAGATGCTGAGTTAGCGTACGCTCCCGAGGATGAACTTGACGATTGTGTGGGCATGGATGCCGTGACAAACGGATGTTAGTATGGTTCGGGCATGGACGAATAATATAGTAGTTTCCATTTTCTTTTCCATCATGCCTATATATCCCCAATAGTGTACCCACGTAAGGGGGACAAGTAGGCATCCCGTCCAGCGAGATGCCTGGAAGCTAAGTTAGAGGAAAAATGGCCGAAACACCCAGGCCGGATGTCCACGTGCATGCTGCTACTTCTACCATTATTCTTGCCCCCACTCTTGTCTTGTTATTACCGCTGCTGTTATTAGTGCTATCACAGCATGCAGGAGCGCCACTGTCACCAACATTTTCTGGTATCAGTATGCCATGTACTCCGACCATCACCTCTGCTAAGCGTGATGCCTACACTTACACCCCAAGCTTCATCCCACTCCCAACGAAACCTTGGACGCTAGATCTCTGCAGGGGATCGCCCAGGTCATTATGCGGAATGGCCTGCAGAGAACATTGTGGAAAGCCATCTGGTATAGACTCGTGCTGTAATCGCCACATTGGTGGAAGATGGAAGCTTGCCGTATTGTCTCAGAACTACCTGAGGGTTTCACACCAATCAGAACCTTTTGAGTTTGTGCGAACTCAGGTTGGAGCAAAAGGTTTCGATTTCTTATCTTGTGTCTGAGTCAGGTGTCCAAGGCTATCCAAACTGCATGCCCAAAGACCATTTGTTGGTCAGGCACAAAGGGTGACGTCAAGACGAAGTTCATCAAGGGCGCCTGCGAAAACTGTGGTGCCACAACTCATACCAAGAAGGATGATCCGGGAATATCCTAACTTGCAGGGGGGAGGGAGCTCCGTCCTGAAATTTGGATCCTTGTAGTTGGCATTTCCCTTCCACCTGCACATAACTCAAGTTCATGGCTCTGCTTGGATTCATCCAAATGTATGACAGCAATGCAGCCATGCTTTTCAAAGCATGCATCTCGGCATACAGTCTGGCATGCCGGTATGAGGGTCATCATGCTGACTTCTGTTGTTGTTAAACCAGTCTTGTTGATATTCTACAGCTTTAATTGCGACAGGACTGCGTTGAAAGGCCCCGTGCCATCACGGCCAAGCAGAATGGCAAGAACCTCATGCCCGATGAGTACATTACGGAGATGGTTCAGACTTGTGAGATTTACGAGTTTCTAAAACGGCTGCAAGCCGTGCTGTTCAGGGTTCCGGGCTCGCATTCTGCGGTTGAGGACCTAGGGATATGTGCTTGCCTTCTCACTTGTCTGCGTGCACTACGGCTTGGCATCGGGAGAGGGCTGATGATTTCCAAATGGGTTGTTTGAGATTGATTGGCTCGTCAGACTGTTGTTTGATCATTTGAATTCGGCGCCTGTACAACAACTTCCGTTATCATTGTAGGCAGACTGTAACGTGATGACCATATAGATACCGTGGCAGAACAAAGATGTGTTTGGCAGGAATCTAGACTGATCGAGTTTCAGGGGTCTAGGAAGTCGTCACAGGGGCCGCTAGCATCGTTCCCTGCACATTGGCCACCGGACTGCTCGGCTGCTCCCAGATTCAGTTGTGATTTGACGCGGCCCCCGCAGCACCAGCAGGTTAGCCCCAGCGGAAGCATTTCCGAGCGAGCTCCTAGAGTAGAAGCCAACTCAGCTGCTAAAATTTAACGAACACCAGATTGAACGGCCTGCCTTCCAGAGCTCGCAGGAGTTGAGTCTCGACTACGATGGCAAGCGCGACCGATGGAACGGCTTCCAGCCAGATGACTATAAGCAGGTCATCGAGGCACCGACTATGATTACTCCCAGTACTACCACAGCAGCAACTGCTGCGGCTACGACCAACGCCGCCGCCGCCACCGCCACCGCCGCCACCGCCACCGCCACCGCCACTGCCACCGCCACCGCCACCACAAACGCCGCCGCCGCCGCCACCACCACCACCGCCACCACAAACGCCGCCGCCGCC